CCCAAAAGGGCCGTGATTTTGAAGCTCCTGGTTTAGAACGGGGTATCCATTTCAGACGCGGTTTCTAGAACGGGGTATAATATTTCGAACGCACGAAAGCTCTCCACTTTTGTAAGTAGCCATTTGAAAGCATTCAAGGACAGATTGCTTTTAAAATACGGTTCAGTGCGTTAAGAAGCGAACCGTTGTACTCTTGTTGCACCCTAGAAGGAGTATAAAAAATTGGCCCATTTCTAGAACGGGGTGTTAATTTTAGGGCGAATTCTAGAACGGGGTATTTTATTTCTAGAACGGGGTATCAATTTTAGGGGATTTTTTTTCTAGAACCCAATTTGGAGTCCCGGGCGGCACATACCCACCCAAAAAATACCCAAGTGCCCCCCGGTAGAGGCTAGCAGAACATCTTCACGCAATGTCCAGCCAAAAATTCAGATATAAGATCTCTGATTAGAGTCAAGCCAGGTCAAGCGTACATCACAAGATTCCATTAATGCATTTATTATTCGAAAGTTGAATCCGTTGGTAGTCGAAGATTCATCTCTGTGTGCATTCTTGCATGCGTAATAAGCGGTGAATTCACGCGCGATTCAGCTACGAAATTTCTACCAGCTCTGCAGTTTCCCTAAATTTGATGTAAATGTCTTCTAAGACATTTAATCCATTCAAAGATTTTCAATCTTACCAAATGCAGAGAGTTCCCGTAAAATATTCACTGCTCATTTCGCATGCATGAATGCCGATTCAAATTTGACACCAGTTACGGGAACGACTAACCCTGGACTAACGGATTCATTTTTTCAGATAATCAATTCATTAATAGAATCTTTTGGGCTAAAATTGACCTACCTTGGCTGTAAACGTTGGATTTTGTACGTTCTTCTCTTTTATTTACAATACCCAGGGGCACCCAACGACAATTTTCGGAAAAATATCTGTTCGGAAGACGATTTGAGATCTAGAATTTTCGGAACATTTGTTGCAAAATTTTTTGCTTGCGTGCCTCTCCTAGGATTTTCGAACATCTAAAAACTACTATATTTGCCCATTTTTAACGGATTTTTACCCTTAAAAGGTCACCTAGAATTTTCGGGAGCCTTTTTTCTGGCAGAAATTTTCGAAAAGGTAAGTTTTGATCCCTATAATTTTCGGATCACTAGACTTTCAGCTAGGAAATCCGAACAGATGAAAAAATTTTAGGGGATAAAAATATGCCTATATCTACCGTTTAAATACTAAAATACGTTTAACAATGCTATGTTTAAGTGGTTTTGAACTATATTCTCGTTGGGTGCCCCTGAATACCGACCATTACAGACAGACGCAACCCGCAACCGGTGCAGCAAACATCGGTGGTCTTAACCTCTCACGTCTATACCAGAGAGCCGAAATACAAATACCGGTAAACAAATATGAATGTCCCGGAATAGTCAATCGATAAAAATCGGTATCGATAAAAATCGGTAAATCTGATTTGATTGATATCGATTGTATCGATCAATTGGTAGAAATCGATGACACACTCGTTTCGTTTATCGATTTATCTTGATTTTTACCGATCTCATCGATTTATATCGGAAGATATATCTGTCCATCTGTTCATCCAAAAATGAAAACTGATTTCATGCAAACAGTAAATTTGTCGACAGCTGAGTTGCAATTGAGAGTCGAAGGATCAAACAATTATATCACTTTTAAAAAAATCTGAAAAATCTTATCTTTTCTTCAAAACCAGGTTTAAACGTAAGGGCCCAGTTTTCCACGATTAAGACCTGCCGCCTTTTCAAAAGTACGTCGGTGTAGTTCCGGGTGTAGTTCAGCATCCCGGAGTACTCAGTAGATAAAAATCGCAGGCGACAAAAATCGTTAGCAATCAAGTGATTTTTATCGATTGATAACGGAAACGGAAATATCTACGGAAATCTCCGAATGAATTTCAGACATCCCTTCGACTCGAGAGGATGTATGAACTCAGGTTAGGAAATCTTTACTATTAGGTTGTATATCTCGTGATACTTGCCTGCGAGAACTGTATGTAATTATAAATAAACCAAACCGTTTTTGTTATTATATACAAAACGAAGAGTTTTAGAGAGAAACTTGTGTGTAATAGTTTCCCCATTTCTCATTTTCATGTTTCAGTGATCAGTTGTTACTCGTGGACGTGTTTTCTCGTCTGTACTATCTAACTTATGCCAAAAAACAGCATTAGCGGACTTCCGTTATAAATAGTTAAAATCATGAAAAATCTATTTGACATGGCAATTCAGTTTATCGATTTTCACCGATTTCCGTTATCAATCGATAAAAATCACTTGATTGCTACCGATTTTTATCGATTAACAACTCCGGGTCATGAATGAAGGTCCCAATAGGTTTTTCGGGATTCGGGATTCGCCTTATTTCAAGGTCGGCATTCGGGATTTTAAAAGCATACTGGGGGCGAGATTCGGGATTGAAAGAATGCACGGGATGCAGGATACCGAAAACAACCCTCGGGATTACGGAATTGGGGAAAATTTGGGTCGGGATGACGGGATTAAAGAACCCTATTGAGGACCCTCATGAATCGCCTGCCGAGGAAAATTAAAGCGACCGTGAAACGCAGGCCTTTAAGGGTAGCATTGGGACCCAGATAGACGCTTCGGGGATGTATGCTTCTGTTGGAAGCTGTTTGGCAGTTTAGGGAGCCCCAATGCAACTGAAATGAAAACGCAAAAACGCACGAAAAAGACTGATTAGCGAGCTTAAGTAACCTTGAAGGCGACGGCAATGAATTCTCAAACTTCATTCCATCTCGTCGTTAATTCAATGTACTTCAACTGACAAACCCGAGGCCGACAGTGCGCTCATTCCCCCCCGCCCCCACCTCCTTCTCTCTCTCCATTAGTGCTCCGTTTTATGGATATTTAAGGTGGCTCGACTGGATTTTTTTAGGGCGATACCTCCCAAGTTTGAGCCTTAACTACGTCGGCATGAGTAAAGATATCGAAAAAAGGTTACCACAACTGTATTACATAAAGATGAAAATTTCTTATGATCTGGGTTTTATTGCAATCGGAGTCGCCATGGCAACGTAATGACGCCATTACGTTTTTCATTTATCCTTGTTTTTCTCTGTACCAGGAGTTTTTTGAAGAAATCGCTTAGGGGAGTATGTAGCTGCCATAATTGCCTCCATTATGGCAAAGTTTGAAGAAATTCTATGAGAGCGTTTTCGAAATATTTCGAAATGCAGTTTTAAGAATCATAAAAACAGTGAAATAGCATGCTAGCCGCTCAATTCGCTAATATATTAAGAAAATGATAAGCTCTGGGAACGCGGCTTCATCTCATGGTGGATTGATTCCATTGAAAACTGCATACAAAAAAAGAGGGGAATTGCTCTGGGCGATCGCGAGTAAGAAGAATTTTATTAACTTGCATTCAGCTGCTTTTGATACAGTTTTTGGAGGTAATTTGGTCCATGCCTAAAAATTTCAAATTTTTCCAAAAACCGCTGGATAAATTTTTTTATAAATTAGACAATTCCGAGATCAATCGTCAAGAAATATTCCCTGCAAGTTTTAAGAACATTGAAAACAGGGAAGGCTTTTAAATAGGGCCTCAAATATAGCCAATTTTCCCCCAGATTTTGTGTGTACAAGTCAGCGTCCTCATTATTCACTGGCATTGTTTTCAAGTTTCATATACACGTGCACATTTAGCAAAAAGATAGAATTTGCATCAAAAAGGACCCTCGGTTAAATCTTCGGGCTATGCTAATTACCGGGTAAAGAGATTAATGATACATTTTAACATCAGAGCAACTCTTTGTGAGAATTTCTGTGACGTTATAACCCGAGTAAGATAATTAAGTATGGCATCCTACACGATGGACCGAGACGTTCACCGTTTCGGCTCTCACTGCTATCCGTGACGGCAAGCCAATTATTTATAGGATATACCGGATATTTCTTCGGAAAGTAATCGAGAGTTCTTTTTGATGCAAATTTATATTTTTTGCTAGTTGTGCACGTGCATATGAAACTTGAAAACGATGCCAGAGAATAATGAAGACGCTCACTTGTAAACACAAAATCTGGGGGAAAAATTGGTTATGTTTGAGTCCCTATTTAAAAGCCTTCCCTGTTTTCAATGTTCTTGAAACTTGCAGGGAATATTTCTTGACGATTGATCTCGGAATTGTCTAATTTATAAAAAAATTTATCCAGCGGTTTTTGAAAAAATTTGAAATTTTTAGGCATGGACCAAATTACCTCCAAAAACTGTATCAAAAGCAGCTGAATGCAAGTTAATAAAATTCTTCTTACTCGCGATCGCCCAGAGCAATTCCCCTCTTTTTTTGTATGCAGTTTTCAATGGAATCAAACCACTATGAGATGAAGCCGCGTTCCCAAAGCTTATCATTTTCTTAAAATATTAAAGTATTAGCTAACATGCTATTTCACTGCTTTGATGATTCTTAAAACTGCATTTCGAAATATTTCGAAAACGCTCTCATAGAATTTTTTCAAACTTTGCCATAATGGAGGCAATTATGGCAGCTACTACTCCCCTAAGCGATTTCTTCAAAAAACTCCTGGTACAGAGAAAAACAAGGATAAATGAAAAACGTAATGGCGTCATTACGTTGCCATGGCGACTCCGATTGCAATAAAACCCAGATCATAAGAAATTTTCATCTTTATGTAATACAGTTGTGGTAACCTTTTTCGATATCTTTACTCATGCCGACGTAGTTAATGCTCAAACTTGGGAGGTATCAACCCCAAAAAATCCAGTCGAGCCACCTTAACGCTACTTGAAGCTACACGGAAAGGAAAGGAAAGTCAAAAGCGTGAGGGATTTTAGATCACATCGGGGAGTCGATCTCGGAATCTCCCGCACAGAAGGTACAAATGAAAAACAAGTCTTCTTACCTGCTCAAGAGGCCAATCATTTTCTGTTCTGCAATTCTGTTTATAATGGTGTCTGATACATGAATAAATTCTCCACCGAGATCAACTGGTGCAAAAACCCTTAAAAGGCTGTACTTGTTTTACTCTGCCGCCAAAATAATCAGGGGCCTTCAAAAGTACACCATCGAACCCAGCTTCAGACAGTGATGCTGTAGCAGCAAGACCTGCTACTCCTCCACCACGTACCAACAGCAACTTGATTATCAGGACAAGATTCAGTGCTCCGTACATATAAATACGTTAAGCTACCGTTAAACGGGTAAACAGTTTCCGAAAAGTTGTTGTAGAAAGAAGAGAGTTCCTCTACCTTTTGCCACAAGATCTGTACATGTTTCGCGTTTTAACAGACCAAGGCAATTGTGTTTGTAACAAGTCACGTAACTCTCGAGTATGGCGTAACTAACACGTAATTTTATCCAATCAGAAGTCGGTATTCACGCAACTAGCACAAACCTGATGTTGCAAAAGCCCCTTTCATTTCATACTGAATCACCTTCCACTGACTTACACTCGAAGATATAATTCGTATCCAGGCGCGGGCATGTAATATCCTCTATATGTCAATCACTTTATAATAATATGGGTTAGGTTTCATGTGTATTGTAAGGAGTCGAGGGGAGAAGATCGCGCTATCCAAACCAAGTTGTGCCGAAAATATCTGTGAGTGAGTGAGTGAGTTGCGAAAACTCTGACTTTGGGATTCGTTATTGTGAATAAAGCTAAATCAAGTGAATTGTCGTGGATTTCTATGAATACGGAAGCGATTCCCGACAACGATAAAACTAAGTTGTTTGTATGCAGTACTGTACTGATGGTTGAAATATGACATTGATCCAGGATCCAGCTTTGTGTGTTAGAAATCTGAGCGTGTAGTTTGCATGTTTTTAAAATACCAAATTTTGCTTTTTATTGTTTATATAACAAGTATTAGATGCATCAACAAGTACCGTATTTAAATTGTTTATAGTCCAGTCCATCTATGCATTCCCAAGAAGGCCAAAATGTAATAAACGACCCTAAATGTAATAACGTCTTAGATATAATAACTTTTTGCCCTAAACGTAATAAACTCTTACGGGTGATAACATTGGGGCTTATTAAGAGGCCCTGATTGTAATCGAGAGTCCGCCGACAGTTGCAAAATTTCATAATTTGATATATTCTACCAAAAAGACCCTTTTGGTGAACTATTTTCAAAACTGGAAGTAAAAAGTTCCATCGCGCTTTGCTTTTTCCGAAAAATCCAAAAGTTCAAATTACGCCAAGGCGGCCCTCCTACCCCCCGGAAAAACAATGAAAAATTCTGCGACTTTGCTAACTTCGTACGCGACAAGGCGTTGAATTCTCAGTTTGCTATTTTGTTCATTGGTGAAAGACCTCTTTGTGTTTTGCAAAATGTAAACTTCATGTAATTTTGTTATGTTTAAGGCAATATAAAAACCTACTGAAATAACTCACTTTCAATCTTTTTGGTTTAGGTGAAATAAAGGGCAATTTTAAAGGGCTATAAAAATCCTAGTATAGAAATTTACGTCTCATATTGTACATCAAGTGAAAGCCTTATCACTTGTTTTCTCCCTATTGTGGCTGCGACTCGTAGCAGTAGTAGGCACAATGCTGGGAGTTTGTAAGAGTGAGTGTAAGTAGTCCTAACCTTCGGAAAGTGCTCGGGATTCTGGCGGACACTGCCGACACTGTTACTTGTTGTTGTTATCGTCGACCATCGTGGTTGGTGAACAGAAAATGTCCTTCGAGATGCACTTTCTTCCTAAGTGGGAACGAACCAAAAACTCAACAAGATTATATTTTCTAAGACAGCTTAAGAAATCGCATGTTGCCACAAGAGAGCTTCTTCTATTTTACATCACATGCGCTCTATTCTGGAGTACGGGAGCCCAGTTTTTTATCGCACTCTACCAAGTTATCTAAGCGAAGACCTAGAAAGACTGGGTCGCGCTATGAAGATTATTTACCCTGAGCTATCATATGTTAAGGCTCTAGAGCTGTCCAGACTTTTAACACTGTATGATAGAAGAGGGGGCAATTGCGGCAAAGTTGTTCGATGAATTATGTGCTAATCAATCTCACAGTCTCCACAAACTACTTCCAAGAAAATACCAGCCAAACTACTCTCTGAGAGAACAAAGAACATTTATTCGTCCAAGGGTAAAACTGAAAGATGCAAGAATAGTTTTCTTTTAAGTTATGTTTATGAACTAGATATAATTTTGTTTCTTATTGTATATAGGAACTTGACGCATGCTTTTAAATCTGTGATTTTGTAACAGTTTTAAAATGGTAAATTATGTTGGATCAACTTTCTTTAATTAGTTATAATTTACTACAGGTGTAAATTATTACTTGTAAACCTTATCGCAATTCAGCTCTTGGCTGCAAGTTTTTAAGGTGAATAAACTATCTGTCTCTCTATTTATCCATCTGTGTTTCGAAACTCATGTCTTTCACAGTCGGGAGTTATCGTCGACGAGAAGGTGAGCGATCGACAGCGACGGTGTTGCGCACCTTGTCGAAATATCATCGGTTGTAAAAGTATTTACTTGCCATGCACTTCTTGGTTTTTGGCTTCTGTCTTGTTGGGTGCAAGTCAAGGTGAGATCTCTCTCTTTTTCTGATAATGATTCTGTGCTATTTGGCACCTGCAACCAGGTAAAGCTCTCAATTTACGTTTCAATTGTTTTTTCCCAAAGCGGTTTTCGGCTTCACTCTCGGAGAAATTGTTATTTATTGTTGTGTTACACATGATGTTATGGTTCAAAAGGCATCGCTTAGGATTTGTCCAACCCATTGACCTTTTCAATATGATGCAACTAATGAACATTTTCAGCAGGAGCAGATTTAAACAGGACACCTATTCTTCAGCGCTGATTCTTCGTTGTGGTTGCAGCTTAACGTTCAAAAGGCATAATTTCACAGATCAGCTAATCTCTTGAATCTGCACCCCATAGACATTCAGAGGCAGTTTCAAAAGCGATACCTTTTGCTTAAAAAACCTTCTTTTTTTCCTGTAGTTTTAGACCGTTATGATTTAAAATAAATATTCGGGAATTTTTATCCATCATTTGATCTTAACTATCGTTTACTTTATGATATTTTTAATGTCTGTTATCCTGATTGCTTGTACATGTTATTGTTCAGTTAATGAAAGTAATACAGCCCGGCATTGTTCATTCTACTTTGCAGTAGTAGCCACATGTAGTCATCGACTACCTATTTTTATCTCCAATTTGACCCAAAAAACTAGCATGTAATGAAGTAGGCAGCCGTACGTGACACAGCCCCTTTAAAATGACGTATTACTTACGTATTACTTACGACATTGATGCCGTTAAAACATTTTGAAATATTTAGGCCTTAAAAGGCCTAATGTGATCAGTCTTAAAAGTTTATTACATTTAAGGCAAAAAGTTATTACTTCTAGGACTTTATTACATTTAGGCCTTCTACAGCATTTGTCATGCTCAACCCCGGCGGAAGGGTCAACAAGCTATGCAATAAAATTGTTTTCAAGTAGCGGACATACATTGCAACACATGCTGTTAGGATTTTAAGGTGGTCGTTTCCATTTTAAATTCAATTGACGTTACTCGTTAGGAATGAGTCGATGTTTTGCTCTAGTGACTGTGGTTATCAATTCTATTTCCCGAAATCATGCTTTCACGTTCAAACATGCTCTGATCACGTATGGCAAAGAAACTTGAGTTACTATTCGCTGTTAAATCATTTCATAGTGAGTCGGTTATACGGAGGGGAGTTAAAGCATTGCACTTTCGGCTGTGATTTCACCAAACATGCACAAGATTTTGGAACAAAATTTCATATAGTATCAAACAAACACTGTGACCAACAGTGCGGAGAGAACACTGAACAGCAGGATAACTCGGAACCGTGACTTTGCGGCTGGGGAAGCCCAACACCATGTACAGGTCAATGCCCCTTGGAAGAAATAGACCAATCGAATTGATTGTTCATACACTACTTACACTCGAACCGTCTTATTTTAGCTCATTTTGAATTTAACAGTAGCCGGTGCAACAGATACTGAAGAGAAGACACTTAGTTACCCGAAGAAATATGGGGTGCTTTCAAGGCCTGGCTATCTTAATCGTTGTATGCACAGTAATAATATGTGCTCTCCAAATTCTGTGTTTCTTTCTGTCGAAGAAAACCAGAAACGTTTCGTCATCGAGGATAAATGAAGACTTGAACGGACATAATCGCGAACCCGGAAATCCAAGGAAAATCAACATACAGTGGCCTCACTTGAATCGAAGGAAACAACCAATCGAACATAGCGAACAACTATTCAGTCAGGTAGGCTTCATGACCATTACATACTGTGAACAATTGTTACGACAATTAGTGACTATACATTTTTTATTTCCAGTTTACGGCCTAATTTGCACGCGCGTGGGTTGTTCCGAAAACATGGGGACAATGAGTGATGTTATTTTTTATTCAAATATCATGAGGAAGCAAATCTTAAAACTAAAAGTGTACGTCAACTTATTTAACTAAGTTTTAAAATAAACATATTATTTTTGCTAGTATAGTTTTTCATTTAGTTTCGTCTATAGTAACTTTCAGCGGTGCCTGTGAAACTTGTCTGAGGTACTGATATTTGTCTTGTTTTCTATAGGGTTGCAGACGCTGAGAAGCAAAAACAAAAGAGTGATCAAGAAAGATGAACATGGATTCACCTGATCAAGGGGCAACAACTTCAAAAGAAGATTTTCAGTCACCTCCTCTAATTTTAGAACACTTATGACAAACTTCAGCACTAGCCTTTTTTTTATTTAGTGGAGATACGTGCAGTACGTGCAATTGAGAAAGCCATGTAACGCGGAAGGGGAATGTAGCATCTAACATTGGGCATATGAGTGCGTTCTGTCTTCTTCTATCTGCGACACTTTAAGCATTTTAATTTCAAACTCTGAGAAGATATACACTTATAGTGGCAATGGTTAAAAAATGCCATTGTAGTGCATTTTTAGAGTTTAAAAGTAAAATGCTGTAAATGGCGAAGATATCAGTAGAAGAGTCTTCCGAGTAGTAGGAAGAGGGTCACCTATGAGTTCGTTGAGAACGCCGGGTTCCAGATTAACATTTTGGTTTACAGTATCGCTGAAGATAATTTGGTTTAGTGATGTGTGAATAGACAAAAAAGAAGTCTCACTGTGTCTGTCAATTTTTTTTTCTCTACTGTATTTAAAACTTGCCTTACAGAGTTTAAAAGTAAAATCACACCGTATTAAAGTGTGGAAAATCGAATAGTTTTCGTAGAATGAGGCGGGATTTTTTATCTTCCTTACTGGAAGTTGTCGGGTTCAGACGTCTGTTAAATCCACCTACAGCTTTCATTTTCGTTCCACATCATGCACGTCTTTCTGCGCTCAAATCAACTCTCTTACATCGCCCAGAAGATTTTAACATATAATCCAAAAAATCTTGAATATTCATGACCTTGTTGTTGGTCACTGAACACTTTGTGATGGGAAGACTAATTGAAACCATGAAAATAAATGTTTGTATGTGGAAACTTCGCTCTTAATCCATTGCAAATCGCAGAAATCATGTAAAATAACGAAATAATGTAATTTTCTTACTTTTACTGGAAATCGAGTGAGAAAAAAGCCGACGAGAAAACGACCTTAGGCCCGTTTCAAATGTCGTGCAACTGCCGTGCCGAACTCAATTGATCGAATTAAATTCGACTTTAGTACGGCAGTAGCGCGACGTTTGAAACGAAGTCGTGCTGCTACTGCCGTGTAGCACGGCAAGCCTTGCCGTGCTACACGGCAGTAGCTCGACTTGGTTTCAAACGTCGTGCTACCGACCGCCGTGCCGAACTCGATAAATTGCAAATGCATTAGACCCGGCATAGTAAATCGAACCCAATCGAACTAAATTTCAATCGAACTCAATCGAACTCAATCGAACTCAATCGGTGGATTGAGTTCGATTGAGTTCGGCAATCGAACGAAATCGAACTCACCGAAAAGAAAAAAAATCAATCGAACCCAATCGAACCGCCGCCTGGTTAGCTCAGTTGGGAGAGCACCGGTCTGTTGAGCGGGAGGTCGCGGGTTCAAGCCCCGGCCGGACCAACACTCAGGGTCTTAACAATAACT